ATCTTGTGTTTTTTTTGTGCATGTGTCACATCTAAAAGAATGTTCTCGTATTGATTTCGCTGGAGATACATATTTTGTATGTTTGGGATCCTGAATTGATTCCACCAAAAACGTGTTTGTGAATCAATGGACTACATTCCAAAACAGTGTTGGCCTTTGCATAAGCCACATAAAATGGCTGATTAGAGCATTTCTTAGAAGCATTTAATCCATCTTATATATATTGTATTGTTTATCTTCTTTTTTATGTAAATATTTTCTATTTTGTGTGTTTTATGCTATACATATCCTGATATCCCCTTATTTTTAATGTTTACGTGGATCAGCAGTTGTAGTTTATGAAAATTGAAAAGTTTAAATCAAAAACTTACAACTATTAGTTGTGTAATCGTAAATATATATAAATTTTAGCATTCAATTTAAATTTTAAATGTAGCATCTTTAAAACACATGTGACATAATCAATGATGTGTTTAAAATTTTATATAACTACAATCGATGATAGATATATATAATTAGAATATTATTATGGATATTTTCAAAAAATATTTACAAAAATAAATCAAAATTTTCTCAAAGAGAATATTTTTAGTTTAGATTAGGACACTCAAAATGTTTGGACCGGCCTTGCTCCTGAACCATTAGCTCAAATTGTAAATCATGATGTCACAATTAAGAAAAAAAAATTAATCACTTTAGTTAAACTACTAAATAATTTATTTTTGCGTTGGAAAATTGATTTTTCATTGGCTAAATCGGTTTCTAGGAAGTTGAAAAGTACTTCTCGAACTACATTATGAATGTCTAGGGTTCATCTTGAATGCTCATTACGCATCTGACCCATGCATTGAGTTTTTTTTTTCACTCAAAGTATTTAGAGACCCATGCATTGAGTTTGAACCAAAGTTTTAAATCGCGGTAGATTTTCCAAAAACTAGTGTTGCAGTAGAGATAGCATAACATTTTAATGTGAAATGGTATCCAGATTTCATGGAGAAATCCGATAAACAAACGTATGAGTCTAAGAACGTATTCGTTTTATGCTTTTTAGAGAGGTAAACGAGCGAGCTCTACCATTGATCTCGATCAAAACATTTACTCTTTGTTTCTTTCATCGTATAAGGTCTTTCTCATATATGTAATTAAAGCCAACCTGTTAACTTGACCAGGCCTGTTTATATATTGGGCCTAATAAGCCCAAACTACAACAAAACCACCGATATATTCCACGTTGGATATATGGCCACGTGTACTCCTATTACTGGATGCAATCTCCACCACGCGCGATCACCATTTTCATTTCCAATATATTTCAAAAAAGATAATCCATAAAATTTTAAAAAATAAAAATAAAATAAAAATCTCTATCTTCTTCGTCTCTTCTCATCCTCCTCTCAAGAACCTCCTCCAATGGCGAGAGTTCTAGTCTCGTCTCCTTCTTCATTCTTCGGTTCACCGTTGATTAAACCGTCGTCGTCTCTCCGTCACAGTGGAGGAGGAGGAGGAACCGCTCAATTTCTACCATACCGGAGTAATAATAACAAGCTTTTCACTACTTCTACCACCGTACGATTCAGCTTAAACGAGATTCCTCCTTTCCATGGATTAGATTCATCGGTAGACATCGGAGCGATTCTCACCAGAGCTGAGTCTTTTCTCTATACAATAGCTGACGCCGCCGTTGTTGGTGCTGATTCCGTCGTTTCTACTGATTCCTCCGCCGTGCAGAAGAGTGGTGGTTGGTTTGGTTTTATCTCCGATGGTATGGAATTGGTTCTTAAGGTGAGTTTTAAGCTGCTAATTTCGATCTCTGTGTGTAGAATTAAGCAAAATGTTTCTGGAATTGTCTTTGTAGATTAAGTTTTTGGTTGGATTTTAGATTTTGAAGGATGGATTATCGGCGGTTCATGTACCGTATGCTTATGGATTTGCGATTATCTTGCTTACGATTATCGTCAAAGCAGCGACTTATCCTTTGACTAAGCAACAGGTTAGTGAGTGTGTATAGTTGAATTTTGCAGCTATTCTTGTCACTTTGATTCAATTTTGGCGTGTTCAATGAGAATTTGAGAGCATTGATTTTGTTTTGGAATCCTTTAGGTTGAATCAACACTAGCGATGCAAAATCTTCAACCGAAAATCAAAGCGATTCAACAACGTTACGCAGGGAATCAGGTGATCATTTTGGCTAGAGAATGAGTTAATCTTGATGATTGAGATTTGACTGACTAGTTTGATCTGTTTTTCGATGTATAGGAGAGAATACAACTAGAGACATCGCGCTTGTATAAACAAGCTGGTGTAAATCCATTGGCAGGTACTTTTTCTAGAAGTTATGAGTTTTGTATGCAAAATTTTGGTTTCCTCAATTGTGCTGATATGTGCACATTCTTGTTATTTTTGATGTTAGGTTGCTTACCAACTTTAGCTACCATACCAGTTTGGATTGGTTTATACCAAGCTCTCTCCAACGTGGCCAACGAGGTACATATACCTTATGTCTCTTTCAACTACTGATTTCGAGTGAGACCAGATAAGTTTGTTGTTAGGTTTGTTGGTATGCTTTTTGTTTATATTCTAATTGTGCAAAACTTTTTTTTTGGTAGGGATTGTTTACAGAAGGTTTCTTTTGGATTCCCTCTCTGGGTGGACCAACAACTATAGCTGCTCGGCAGAGTGGATCCGGCATATCGTGGCTTTTTCCGTTTGTGGTAATGGAAGAAAAAAAGTTTAACTTAAGTAAATACATATTTTCATGTGATACTTATCTTATACTAAACTCTATTTTTCAAGCAACTGAGTCTTTGCTGTGCAATGAACCTTTATCATATTGGTGTCTAATATTGTTCGGTGGTGCAGGACGGGCATCCACCATTGGGATGGTACGACACTGCAGCTTATCTTGTTCTACCTGTTCTCCTTATTGCCTCCCAGTATGTGTCAATGGAGATTATGAAGCCTCCTCAAGTGAGAAATAACACAAGTTTCTTTTTTATTTTTCCTTTAACTAAAACATGTTGATGTGATTGTCCTGAAGCCGAATTTAATTTCTTTTGTCAGACAGATGATCCTGCCCAGAAGAATACGCTTCTTGTTTTCAAGTTTCTTCCACTCATGATCGGATATTTTGCATTATCTGTCCCATCAGGATTATCTATCTACTGGTTGGTTTCCCTTACCTTGAAACTTTCATCTAACTGTTTTATTCATGCCCTTGATTGATCTACACGTTTAAATGGACTATAAGCCAGATTTTCTCTACTAATTACCCTAGATGGCTTCTATCTTAAAATGTTTATAAGACGGATTAGAATTTTCAGGAATATGAAGCTTGTTGTTGGACTAAGGAATCATCTAGTGTGACGACATTATGTGTTTATTCGTAGGATCGAGTATTTTCTGCCTTTGTTATAATGCTGCTGCTGATGTTAAAGTATCCAATGGTTTTAGGTTCACAAATAATGTACTTAGTACCGCCCAACAAGTATATCTGCGTAAACTTGGTGGTGCAAAGCCTAATATGGATGAAAACGCAAGTAAAATAATAAGTGCGGGACGGGCAAAGAGATCTATTGCTCAGCCTGACGATGCTGGCGAAAGGTAAGTGAATCCCGAGTCTAGTGGAGATTTATATCTCTCAATATCAAGCGTTTTTCTTACAAGTTTGTTAATTTTCCGATAATGTATTTTGGATAACAACAGATTTAGACAACTAAAAGAGCAAGAGAAGCGAAGCAAGAAGAACAAGGCTGTTGCGAAAGATACGGTTGAATTAGTAGAAGAATCCCAGTCTGAATCAGAAGAAGGGTCAGATGATGAGGAAGAAGAGGCTCGCGAAGGAGCGTTAGCTTCGAGCACAACAAGCAAGCCGCTTCCTGACGTTGGCCAACGAAGAAGCAAAAGATCAAAGCGGAAACGCACTGTATAGAACCAATATGCAAGTAAAGAAGAGAAAAGAGAGAGAGATTTGAATCTTGTTCTTTAGTGTGATCTTTTGATATATTTGCACACACCAAGTCCGGTAATTATCTAAAATTAGGGCACAAAAAGGTCATTCTAAAGTTAAATGCAGTAGTTGATCAAAGTAAATTGATTATGTGATTCATCTTATCATTATAAATGTATTAACGTAAATGTTTGTACTATTATGACTTTAAACATGTCCGCTTCAGTTTTGTTAGCATTTCGTTGTTGTAAACTTGTAATCTATTGTTTGCGAATTTCAATAGGTGTTTTACTTATGCTAAATCGGCTTATAGAAATGGTAAATGCGAATGAAGTAGTATAGTAATTTGTGCAATAAACTGGACAAACGTTTCCCATGAATAAACAAACAATTACTTCCTGACAAAGAAGCATTGTTTATTTGGATTGGACATGGATAAAATAGACAGAGGTAAAAATATTAAGTTTAGGATTGGGCTAAGGAGGCCCAAGAAATGGTTACACGATTTTCAAATTCTCGAAGTTGTACAAGCAGACAAAAGACCACTTGTTTTGTCGTGTTGTCGTTTGGTGTTTGTCGTTTTGATGTGTTTGTCAAAGAACCTTGTTACTAATCTGAACGAATATAACTTGTCAGTGTAGCCTTATTACACTAATATTCAGAGAAACTTGTCATGTTGTTACAATCATGACACATGAGTCACATAGCATGTAATAGAGACATAGAGTATACATTTCAATAGGTTTAGAAGTTTAGAGAACTTAATAGAACTGAATCAATCGGTTCACTAAAATGTTTGCATTATGGTTTAGGATTAATTTACCAATGAAGGAAACAAAGCTTCGTTAGTCACAAACCAGTTGCCATCATTTTATTCTTTAAAGAGCTTTCAAGCTTTTTGACTCATAGAATCCAATATTCATCTCTTTTAAACTGACATTAAAGCCCTTCACCTCCTTAAACCCACATGCTAAAATCATTGCCTAACCACCCAAAACATCCAAAGGGTATTTTCGTCACTCTATAAATATTGATGCATATCAAAAAATACTTTAGCTTATATATACACGTCGCGTTGTCACATCTTTCACACCAAAAGCTACACAATGGCTAAAACCTCTCTTCCTCTCGCCGCCTCCTTCTTCCTCCTCATCTCCTTCTCCTCCGCCGTAGACACCAGCCGTCTCTTCCTCACCGTCGTCAACAACTGTCCCTTCACCGTCTGGCCAGCCATTCAACCCAACGCTGGCCACCCCGTCCTAGAGAAAGGTGGTTTCGCTCTCCCAAAGTACACTCACCGCTCCTTCAACGCTCCAACCACACACTGGTCCGGTCGCATCTGGGCCAGAACCAACTGTGCCCACTACAACGGCAAATTCTCTTGCATGACCGGAGACTGCGGAAACCGCCTCGAATGCAACGGTCTCGGCGGAGCACCACCAGCTTCACTAGCTCAGTTCGACCTCCACCACGGTGGTCACCATGACTTCTCCTCTTACGGCGTCTCCCTCGTCGACGGTTACAACGTTCCTATGACTGTGACTCCTCACGAAGGCCATGGTGTCTGTCCCGTTGTAGGTTGTCGTGAAGATCTTATAAAAACGTGTCCTGCTCATCTTCAGGTCCGGTCACATAGTGGACACGTGGTGGCTTGTAAGAGTGGATGTGAGGCTTTCCATACAGACGAGCTGTGTTGTCGAGGTCATTACAATAGTCCTAACACGTGTAAAGCTTCGAGCCATTCGTTGTTCTTTAAGCATGCGTGTCCTTCGAGTTTCACATTTGCTCATGATAGTCCTTCGCTTATGCATGACTGTTCTTCTCCTAGAGAGCTCAAAGTCATCTTCTGCCACTAATGTTTCGGCTATGTTGTAGGGTTTTATCGTAACATCGGACTGATCTTCTCAAGAATTTGTTTGGTTTAGTCTGGTTTTGATTGGTTAAGTTTGCGATTTCCGGTTCTGTTATGTAGACCAACTATGAAATTATGTATTATCTTGAAACTGCTTTCTGTTTAATTCTCTTTTATTTCGATTCTATAAATGCTTAAACATTGATAGATAAGTACAAAATTAGAATGGAAACCATTTTAAAAGTTTTGGTTCTAGAATATAACCATTGTGAAAGAATGATTTGTTGAGTATCGATATTCAAATTTTTTTTACTCGGTATTAAAAAAAGGTACATTGTTTTATTCGAGGCATGTAAGGCTAACGCAGTGGCTTGTTCTTTCACCTTTTTATTTTGTATTTGTCGGTAAGATATTTTATTTCACGAGTTTCCACATTTTTGAAAAAAATACTAATATTAATGTAATAAAAAAAGTTCTCACCCCTTGTATAATTTGTAAACCAGTAATCAAGTATTTCGGTTGTAAATAAATTAAACTTTAGAAAACAAAAACTAGAAAAAAAACAGAAATCTGAATTGTACAGTGGCTATTTTGAAATTACTGAGAAAAAACCAATAAAGAAAAATTATTGGTGTACATCATTATCACGAGACTACTTTTGGAATGAATGAAACAAACTCAATTCGAAAAAAGCTGCATTCTCACGTGAAAGATTCTCATTTCTTTGTTGTGTGTGAGAGAGATTTAACACTTTCTTTTATAAAAGTTGGATATCCTGAGGTAAATCCAAACTAATTATCTCAAAAATAATTGTTTAGAGTTTTGGTGAGTCACCAAGATTATTTATCTAACTAGTCTCCATAATCAAACTATCTAAAAAATTGCACCCATTATTATTAAGAAAAAAATCTAATAAATCACACTTATATTTGTTTTTACGTTGGCGAGATAATAAAAATATTTATTCTGGAGCATTTTGATTTTTTGAGTACACTCAGTAGTCAGTATAGTAATTTAGGGGGTGTTATTCACTCATGGAGTTAAAGTCAATTCTTAAAGGTTTAGATTTGATTTCTGCTATTGTTTTTAACAATCTGTTTGTGTGGAGTTCAAAATCTCTGCAGTATATCCCGGATTATGATTCTAATGATTTACTCATGAAACTCCAAAGATGTTTCATTTCAAATGATTTGATATACAAAGATTTTACAGGTCTTTTAGTTTTGAATAACACTGGATTTTAATGAAGCATTTTAAATCTTAGTTGAATAACACTAAACTTTAAAATCTATTAGAGTTGGATTTAAAATCATTAGGTTAATAATATTGGATTAGTGTTGGATTTCAATTCTATTAAAATCCATCGTTGAATAACACCACCTTAGTTAACCAAAAAAAGGAAGCTTTATTGATTATGTGAACTTCACTTTCGGTCAAAGTATCAATTGGGCTCCCGATTTCGTGTTGCTGTGGTTATTTATGGTCAAAGGATTGTGTGGGCTTTAAAAAAATGATTTGTGTCGGCTTGGGCTATGAAATCTGTGGATAAGGCCAAGACATAAAGAGAAATGCATGAGAGGCCATATGAGAAGTGACATTCTCGTTTAATATGATGAGTACAGCTAACACAGCAGATAATATATACAGAAGTTTTAGGGGTTCTCATATCTCTGTCTTCTTCAAATGTTTTTGTAGAGAATGTACTGTTTTAGGTATCCAATTTAAATGAACAGAGAAATGATACGAATCGAAAGATAAACGAGATGACAAGGAGGTAGGTGTATGGTATAGATAGAGAAGACGTACTATTTACTAGCCATGTCCATTTTGGGATGGGAGACTCATTTCGTCCCGTTTCCGTCCCCAAATTTATGTACTTTTGGGGAACGGAAAATTACAATTACATGTTCGGATCCAAGAATTACATTCAAACATGTAAGAGAAGAGAATGGGTTTGGGAATACCCTAAATTCCCATTTGAGTATTTGTTCATGTTACAAAAAAGTCAAATTCAATTGAGCTCAAATATTTGGATATGGTCCAATTAATTATAATTAAGCAACAACAACACTTAGGATCAAGTTTTCACAACTTCAACTTTTCATAGACTTCTACATTATTTCTATCTCTCTTTTTCTCAGTGTACACAGTCACAACATATCAAAAACAAAAGAAAATTATCAAACCCTAGATCCTTTCCCAAAATTACAAAGAAACAAAACAGAGAATCGAGTTCTCCTTTTCAATCTTGGTCGGATTCGAATTTCTCTCTTAACTCAAGGTACATCCAAAACTTGAGCAATCTGAGGTGAATCTAGATATTTTAACTTTTTGAACTATCCGTCCTCATCTATACCCATAATTTTTGGTCTCGTTTCCCGTTATAGACATGCCTACGAAGTATTTTTATCGCGGTTTTTAACGCTTATTGAATGATAGGTTTATAATTGTATTTACTCATTCACAGATTTAGTAAAAAGAAAACTCTAAAAAAGGACAATTCGTTCGATTTGTTCTACTAAAAAGAGAAATCATAACTTTTCTTTGTCACAAGTTGCATGCAGAGAAAAGCATGAATTAGCTTTCCAGATATGGGGCATCGATTTAACTTGTATTATAGGTCAAACTGCTTTAAAAACATGAAGCTTTTAACGTCTCAAACTCTACTGTCCCATTTAAATTACTCTAAGTGTCTCCTAATGTAATTTAAAATTTATTTCCTCGTTTCTCATTTAAATGTGCATATATTTAGGTAAGCTGTTGTCCATTTAGGATTTTTTTGTTTTGTTTCGCACACAACTGGTCTAATTGCTTCTTTTGGTGTAATCCAATTGAGAGTTTATAGTCAAATTGCATCAAAAAGTACAGCTTTACATTAATACTTAGTTTCTAATGTTTTTTTTATTATAAAAGTTAATAATGTTTACGTGTATGGTTTTTTATTATATAAATTATTACAAAGGCGTCTTTAGCTTTTACTTCATTTTTTTTCTTCTTTTTTTTTTTTTGGGCTCTATCTCTTTACCTAACGTGAAAAGACATTTTTCAGATCAGATTACTACTCTTCAAAGATGTAAGTTTTTTTTTTTTTTTTTTTTTTTTTTTTAAGATGTAAGTTATAATCCGTTAGAACGACTCCTACACTGTCCATAATTAATAACCCCGATAATAATTAATTTATAATTACTAATTTTGCCTATATATTAAATAAACATGTATAATCTAAGTTGTATGAAAATTTTACCGAAGATTATCATTTCCAATTTGTAATCGAAATCGGAACTGGAATCACAATTTCAAAAAATTATTAAGGAAGCAAAATTAAAAGAAATTACTTGCCTTTTCATTTCGAAAATGTGAGGGAAACATAAATAAATAGAAAAAATTGTGGTTATTTTTGATGTTCTCATTAGTAAATAACAAAAATTATAACTAACTCAAGTTATTGATATATTTAAACTAATTACCTCATTTCAGTAACTTCTATTCTCATTAGAATCACGAACACAAGTATTATAATCTAATAAAAAGGGACGATAATTTTTAATATTTTGCTATTATTTCTCTTCTTACAAACATGAAAATTAAATTAAATTATGTAAAGAGATTTGTATATGTTAAGTTCTTGTAGGTAAAGATTGGTGTTCCATAAAATACCATTAAGAGAATAGTTACCAATTAAATTATTATTTTTTGTTAAAGACAAATTAAAATATTTGCTTTTGGAAGTTTAAAGATCTCGAGCAATTGACCTAACAAAACAAAACAAAGAAATGGAAGAGCGTAGAGATAATAAAGTGGAAATAAGTGGTGTGTGTTGTGCGGACCGTGAAGTACGTCATACGGTCTTCCTGTTTCCTGATGTCCCGAAAGACGAACGATCGCATGCAATTGGTCCACAAAAACATTTGAGCATCATTTTAAAATATTTGGATATTGGTCCAAAAATTCTTAATTATTTCTTTTAATTTTTAGAAGGATTCCACTTATTTTATTTCATATTTTTATAATAGGATGCGGTGAGACGTAAGCTGACCTTTCGAAGTCGGAATAGATATGGCACTGAGCTGATGCAGGCAATTTGATAGGCTCTCACTAATATCACACTATCAACTAGTAACTTGGCATTATCCTTAGTTATAAGTCTATTTTACTTTTACATAATTTTTTTAACTTGTCGAAATGTTACAATGTTTGTTTGCTTCTAATTCATTTACCTTAAGAAAATACACTCCATGTTAATTATCATGCACAAATTAAACCGAGCCATAGCACATTTTGCACTAACAAATACATTTCGTGTTGTGCAGCAAATTTGTTGCGTTTACGTGAGCTTTTACTTTTATTGTTATTATAAAAAAAATTGGACGAGTCAATTATATTGATCAATATAATGCTCAGCCAGAAATAACATTTTCCACTAGTGGAGCAGAATTTAAACGTGATATCACTATGTTCATTGACTGCCTCTACCATTCACCCTTACTTTCTTTTACATTTGGAATGTGATGGGGTTTTGGGTGCTCTCGAGAGCAGTCTTTACCAAATTGTGCTGATGTAATATTTACTTACATAATACATTGTTCAATATGTCGTCTTTCAAAATGCCCTCAAAACTTTGTTGTGTCGATTTCCCACACTGCAAACTCTGTATTCATATATCTAAAGCAAGAAAATCTTTTTACTAAACAGAAAACAACAACTAATATTGCCCAATTATCTAGTGGCGGACCCATGTTGGTGGATAGAAGTGTTGTTGACACCAGGTAAAATATAAATAAGTTTACCTTTTACATGGTGATAGCTATTAAAGTGGCATAGTGGTATGGAATGAACCTACTTCAACATGAGGTTAATGGTTTTATGCTCCATTGATATATTTGTTATCTACTTTTGGCACATTGTCGACAAATTTTCTGGAACCGCAACTTAATACATCTCTGCATGTACGTATTCGTGTACGCAGCTTCTTCTATAAGATTGAAACGTTTACAATGGTCAGTCAATTCAATATGTGTTTGATTTATCGCGAAGCGGTTACAGAAGAGAACTCTTTAAGCTATGTTCTTCGCGGATTTATTCTGTTTAATACGGCTTATATAAGCTTCGACAAGCCCAACCAACTTCTTAATTTTCTCAGCTCAGCAACTCAAACTTACTCAAATCGCAGCTAGACCTAATGACATAAACACATCAATGAAAAAA